GCGATGGATGAGCTCATCTACAAAGAGCTCTGCATGGAGTTCTACATCACTTTCTCCCATGTCATTTCGGGGAGTAAGAGGAGTAGAGCCTACGTAGAGTTCATATTGGGGGGGTCAGTCGAGGGTGCTGACATATGATGGCTTAGCTGAGGCCATGGGGCTCGATCCCACCCACATGACAATGATAGAGCGGCAGTACACCACCGAATTCCAGCACCAGGGAGACGACTTCAAAGGCTCCGTCACCAATTTCGTGAAGCTCGGGACACCATAGAGGATCCTGCACACCCTCCTGACAAAGTCCGTCATCCCCAGCCTGCTGGCTGCACACTTGATCACAAATAGAGGGTGATAGCCCTCCATTCACTAAACAAGCCAGTTGGTCCGCTCCATTTGGGAGCCGTGGTTGCTACTACCTTCGCTCGATGCGAGGGTCGGGACCGGGTGAACACGATGCATTTGGGAGGCATCATCGCCAGGCTGACCCGACACTTCGTGGTGGATGTGGGCCGGTGTTCTATCATCCGCCAGACGGATCAGTTTTCGGTGGAGACTTTGTATAACATGAAACTGGTGCTTCAGCAAGTAGGGGTGTTCAAACGGTGTGGTTACCATCGTAACCGTTTTAACCAGTACTATTTGGATAATTTGGTTGGTTAATTTGGATAATTGGTTTGGTTTGGTTAAAGTTTCTACCTTGTTTGGTTTGGTTTCAGACACTCCTAACCAGCCAAACCAAATTAACCAGATAAATAATTAGTCATAAATCTAATATATACACATACTTAATACTTTGAATAACCACTCAAGAGTTAAACGTTCATTCTTTTAGACTCATAAAATATAAAGCTTGATATTATTCCTATAATGTATATTTATATATGTAGAGTGTAGACCACACCATATGAACGCCTAATTTAGATAAATCTCTTACATTATGTTGGATGAAAAATTGAAAGCAAGGTCCTTTTCAGCCTATGAAAATTGCTAAAAGACTAAGTCAATTCAAACAAACACAACAATTCATTAACCCATACCATTGTGATAATTTTTTGTTAGGTGAATACTTCTATACTAATCGTAAGATAATTGTCTTAGTTGCATGTATTTATGTTAAGGGTCAACTATAACTATATGTTGATTGTTATGTTTTATTCATTAAATAAATTGTGAATTGATAAATTAACCAAAATTTTTCTCAATTAATGATAATATGACTTTATATTGGTTAATCTGGTTAATCAATTAACCAAATCGATTAAACTTTAGTTTGGCTAATTTGGTTGTTGTATTAGTTTGGACGGTTTGGTTATAATATTGTATTTCATGGTTAATGAAATTTAGCCTTATTTGGTTTGGTAATAACCATGGTAACCATTTGAACACCCCTATCAGCAAGAGAGAGAAATCGAGTTCCTCGAGGGCCTTCGACCCTCAGCAGCTTTGCGACCCCATGTCGACCATGCACCAGTGCAGCCCGATCCAGAGGTTCCTCCCCAGGAGCAGCCACCCACCAGAGCTCCCGGCCACCACCGACGCACTGCAGCACCACCTTCATCAGTTGCATCATCATTATCAGGGGTCGGACCCTCAACCTTCGGACCACACCTCGAGGAGCGAGTGGATCGCCTCAAGGCATATTATGTGGGGGTCACCACTCGACTTGACTGCACCGCCGATCTAGTAGAGAGGATGGCTCGCCGCCGGGGCGTTCTCTCCGATGACGAGGAGTGAGCTTGCCACGACGAGGTAGCCATCGAGGGAGACACGTGGTAGAGCCGATTTCATTCGCCCCACTTCTCCACATGCAAACTCTGAACTCTTTTTCTTTTTCTTTTTATTTTCTCCTTAAATTGTGTGTGAAATAGTACCTTGTGAGTTATTTATGCTGAATTGTATTGTGAACCCTTGTTATGTGTAATAACCTCACCTCGAGCGAGAATGTGTTAGGTTTGTGCTTTATTTTTGGTTTCTCCCTTGAAGCTTAAACATCCTAGCTCGGGAATTTCTCCAACTATCATTCACCAAGCCATGCGGTATCATCGTTCTACCCCCTATTTTACGCCATTGAGGGCAATGTCGAGTTTAAGTGTGGGGGTGGTTTACTATTATGCTTGTGTATGAGTGAATGCTTGGAGCCTTGATGTATGCCCAAATTTGAAAATTTTGAGGGCTCCAAGCAATGCATGATCAAAATGGCCGATTGGTGGGTGAATCTCGTGCTTATTTGACATTGATCTTGAATTGTTACATGTAATCGTGTACATCCTATTATGACGACTGAGAATGCATTAGGGTTGTGCAAAAGCTTATTTCTTATGTGTGCTTGAATGAATGGATGTCTTGACTTGGTAACTTCTTGATTACAATTGTCATGCATTGAAATTTTTTGAATTGGAATAGATGATTGGGTGGCTAGGTAGCCATGTGAGTTTGGTGCCGATCGTTTTTTTTTTCATGTGTGATAGATCCCTCTCGCCATGGTGTGTAACATTCACCACTGTCTCTAGTGAGTATGATGGAGGCATAGATTGTCCACGGCCAAAAGTTGATTATCCCAAACATTTTATCCCCTAGTCAACCCCTTTGATCCGTGTGACTTTGGGGATCATTCTAATGCTATGAGCTTCATGCTTGTTGAGCTTAATGGTGACTGAAAGAACGACCCCCGCCCATCCTTTCTTCGTGTCAAAGTCTGCATTATCCTTGTGTCTCGGAGTTCTTGCTTTTGAGCTCCATTGAGGTTCTACATAGGTGATTTTGCATGGTTCTTGCTAGAAATGAGAAGGTAGTGTTGGAGGAAAGTTCTTAAATGGAGAGAATTTTTCGTTAAATGAAAGAAGTGGCATGTGTTTAGCTTTCTAGTACTCCCCTCAAAAAAAAAAGAACAAAAAAAAAAAACGAAAAGCAGGTAATAAAATGGGGTAAATAAAAGTAGAGAGTGCCCACATAAGTCTAAGTGTATGCTCTAGAAAGGGTTTCTTGGCGCTCAAGCCATTGAAACACCTAAATTGTTTCATGAACTCTTTCACTACTAGGTTCAAAATGTGGATAGCATGATAGGCTGAAGGTGTGCGCTTGAAAGTGGCACTGTTGTCTGTTCCTTGGACTTGAGTTCTATGCATGGTTAGTTGCGGTTGGTGAGTAGTCCGGTCGAGACTTGCATTGATTTGTGAAAAGGGTGAGAACTTTCATTTGCCCATTTTCTATGCAATCGAATGTTATTTTTGGTGGATGTCGGTATTGTTGAGGCATTTCATGTGTTGATGCCCAAATAGTCACTGAGATTCACCGCTTTGTGCCTTTTGATTTGTCCCCAAGTCATCTTGTTAGGTTGAGATGTTACCCAGGTTGAAAATGGTTTGCTTGGGGACAAGCAAACGTCTTATTGTGGGGAGTGATTTGGGCTCATTTGTACATTTTTTACCCCACGGTTTGCTTTGTCGTTTGATGCACTTTTACTCTGGGAGGTTTGGTTTTACGCGGATTGTGCCTTGTTTTGGTATGTTTCAGGCTTTGGAAGGTGGAACTAACCCCGGAGTCGAAAGTTGGACGAAAGGGCGAAAGATCAAGTCAAACGGTGGAAACAACAGCAGTTCACGGTTTGGGTTGTGAGTTCACGGTCACTAAGACCGTGAACTGGAGGCGCTCCCCGTGAATTTCCAGACATCCAGAACATAGGAGGGTTTCACTGGACACAAGCCAGTTCATGCTCGTAAGACCGTGAACTCAAACCTTCGTCCGTGAACAGAGTTTAGTGATGCAGCGCGGTTCATCGTTGGTTCACGATCTGTGCTTTCAGTTCACGGCCGTGAACTAAGACCGTGAACTGAGAGCAATCTGGGTATATAAAGGAGGTTGAGCCAAAGGAGAAAAGGGGAGACCTAGTGTGAGAAACTTCTTCTTCTTCTTCTTCTTCTTCTTCTTCTTCTTCTTCTTCTTCTTCTTCTTCTTCTAGAGTGAGAAAGTGATGAACCAAAGAAGAGGAGAAGCTAGGGTTTCATCTTCAAGCAAGGAATTGAGAATTCCTCTCCCAAAGGAGGATCTCTTCAACACAAGGAGCAAGGCTAGTATCTCTTTGATGGTTTTCCTTCTTCTATCTTGTGTTTTCCCTTCTCCTGGCATGGAGTAGTCCCTTCTTTCACTTGGCTTGTAAACCCTAGCTACAATTATGTGAATGCTTTGTGTGTGGTTGTGTTCAATGTGAACGTGGAGGTATTATTCATGAATGATTGTGTTGTGTGAAAATCTATCAATCTAATTGTCATTCTAACCCAGGTAGAGAGAAACCCCCCTTCCTTTCTTTGAAAGAGGCTTGAATGCTGGGTTTTCTTAGGCAATTCATTGTCTCCTAATTAGGTTAATGCAGAGCAAACCTCCTATTTCGTATTAGCACCTAGGGTTTGGTTGTGGGTGGCCGTCCGAACTCCGATTCGAGGGATCCTTAGTCAATAGGTTGAGAGAGTCGCATTAGTGGCTTGGATCACATCCCCTTTCCTCAACCTTGAGACTAAGAGGGTAGCTTTGGCTACTTGTTAGACTTTTCTACGGTTTACAACCCCCTCACTACACATGGTCATTTGATCCATCAAGTCGTAATTGCTAGCTAGGGGGAGCAACACTCTGGTGAAGCCTTCTCAATTAGTGTCAAAACCATTTCTCTTTGCAAGTACTTTAGCTTTATACCTTTGTTTTCACCAAAACCAATCGCTAAATAATGTTACAAACAATCGAAGTATGGGTACATGAACCAACCCGATCGATATTTAAGCATAATTGCCAAGTACTGCACCCAGTTAACGTTTATACTTGGGCCGCAATCGAGAGTTTCTAAGTGGTGCATTCGTGATGAGTCAGGTAGGCATCACACAAGCTTCCCCTACCCCTTCCGCAATAGCCTATTAGAAATTTAGAACAGCAGTAATAGTGTTGGGGTTGCATCCCCTTCCACGCAAGTGTTTGCCTTTAAAGAACTTCGTTGCGAAGATTCATAAGGCCAATTTTTGAAACCTCAAACAAATTAATATGATTGATGATCATACTTGACCTTTTTAGTGTAGTAGGTATCAAAAGAGTTCAACCATCAGAGGGCAAGCGTTACACAACCTGTGTTTTAATGAGTATGACCTAGACATTACCAGACAGATAATCTAAGGAAAAACAACATAACTTCTGGAGAAAGAAGAGCTCTAGTTTGACTGTAATTTTGGTTCTCTATTCTCTATAAACTAACAACAGACGACACACTGTACAGAAGTTCTTCCAACCCATTCTTCCCCCAGCTAGCAATAGAACAAACACTACTTACATATCGCAGTCTCTTTTTTACATCAGCCTACCAGCATGCATCACCTGGGAGCAATGGTGGGTACAACTCCACTCACGAGATTGCTGCCCGACACATCTGATGACACATACGGATTTTTCAGCGACGAGGAAGCAGAGGAAGTTGTGCTAGCAGCTCCCCTTTTTGGATCTGTACTATCTGTATCTGTAGTAGACATCAACTCTGAAGTTTTGGTCTCAGATTCAGGCAGCAAAGACCACATGCTCTCCAGTTCTCTTACCACGTCAGCCATTGACGGCCTCGAATCTGTCTCGTCTTGGCAGCACTTTAGTGCCAATGTCAAAAACTTCTCCACACTGTCCGAAGGGTATGATCCCATTTTCCCATCAATTACTGAGAATATCATACCCGACTGGTATGCGATGTTAACCTGATATGAACACAATCAAACATTTTGGCTCAATTTTTCTAGTTGGCAAAAATATATATGCAGTATGCTATAGAGGCCGCCAAATGGGTTGGGATTTGGGATTAAATGAGTTCTTCGGTTTATGGTTTGGGCTTAAATGGATTCTTGAGTTCTGGGATACAAACACTCCCTTGAATTTAGAGGTGATCTGGAGGATATCTCGATCGTCAGTCCAGGTCTACGAACTGTTGGGTAAAGCTTAGAAGTTAGGGTATTAGGCAGATTAGTTTGTTAATAGCAAGAACCATGAAACCATACCAAAGAGAAGACCTGTAGCAGTAACAATTCAGTAGTAATAGCAGGATATTAACAAAATCGTCACGAAACTGTTACAATATCGCAATAAACATACCAACTTGGTCAATATTGCAAAAAAGCTGATAAAGTACGGTATTGAAAACATTGGTTCATAGCTAAAACAAGGTACCATATAAGATCTAAATTGTGGTCCGGTTTGTAAAACTCTGAAAGTTTAGGCACTAGATTTAAGACTCAAAATATTCAGATACTAGATTGTAGTTACTCAAAATTCGATGTATGTTACGAATATTTTTAGGCACTAAAATGTAATCCATAAAATATTTAGATACCGAATAATTATTTTGCGGGGTGAGTTTTAGTGGGTGAGTTAGTGTGGGTTGGTACTTTGACACTCTAATGCGAGTAGTATGCACGTCTCCCAACTCAACTACCATCTGCCGTCAATGGAAACACAAATTATGTCTAAATGTGAGATGATGGAGAGATGGCAGGCAAGACATTAATTACCTCACGAACAATGTTTTTCCCATGTGAGATCGGTTGCATACCGGTCAGCAGTTCTAGAAAGACGACACCAAGGCTGTAGACGTCACTTTTGTCCGTCAACTTATGGGTTAGGAAGTACTCCGGATCCAGGTAACCCTGACATGTTGAAGATATATATAACACATGGTCATGACATGACGAAAACAATTCCTGATTGACTAGCTAATTCAACGAGTTGAAGATTTTATTTGCATGGGCAAAATAGTCAGACTTACAGGAGTACCCTTCACAACTGTGGATACATGAGCAGGCACTGCGCCTTCAATATCTGGAACTGGTGCAAGCCTGGAGAGTCCAAAATCTGCAACCTTCGCATTAAATCTGTTGTCCAGTAGTATGTTGCTTGCCTTGATATCTCGGTGGAAAATCGGGGGATCCGCTTCTGTGTGGAGATACAGTATTCCCTTGGCTGAACCTAAAGCAACCCTTACTCTTGTTGCAAAACTCAAGGGTTCCTTAGTCTTGCCTGTGAAAACAATGTATATGAGCCATGTCAAAAGCATATATGAAAATGCATCCTCTAATCTAAAGATGAAGAAGTACAAGAGAAGAAGAGGTGATCAGGACTCTAGCCAGTTTCTGAGTCACTATATAGAGCAGGAACAACCAAAGAACTACTGGAGACAAGATGGTAGCTGCAGTACATACCTGAGAGATGATCCCTTAAAGTGCCATTCGGCATAAACTCGTAAACCAACATCTGCACAAATAGAAAGTTTCATGATCAGAGAACCACAGGGCATACATACAACCGAAAATAAATTTGTCCTAGAAATAAGAAAGAGTGATTAATATGGCAGTCAAGTTGGTAAAAGAGTGCATAATGACTTGAGGAGGAACTTGGGTAAAACGGTACCTGTTCACCTTCTTCATCACAGTATCCAGTCAGGGACACAAGGTTCCTATGATGAAGCCTTGAGAGTAATTGTATTTCAGTCAAGAACTCCTTTTCCCCTTGTAATGAACCTTCTTGAGCACGCTTGATCGCCACGAGAGTGCCATCAGCCAAAATACCTTTGTAAACTTTTCCATACCCTCCTTGACCAACTAGAGCTGAACTACTAAAATTATTTGTTGCCAAAGCCATTTCGGCATAAGTGAAATCCTTGACGCCCTCAATTCGGATGGAGGCTTTAGATGCTGAGCACATACAGATAACATGTATCAGAAGCATTAATAAGGAAAATATATTATAAAGTTTCAAACTTAAGAAATTTGAAACTCTATATAAATCATCAAAGCTTAAACTAGCACCTATCTCAAGTACGTAGAACAAATTGTATGAGTCGTTTGTAGTTAGAATTATGCATGATCAGATTGAGTAGAGTACTTATTATTTGGACCAAGGACAAGACAGCTTGTTGATTGATATGCATATCATCCATTGTTCCATTTTTTAGCAGTTCATGAACTCTCGAGCTCCTTACTCATTGTATCTGGAAATATGGCTAATCAATAACTCAGCAGTTTAAGTTGCCAGAGTCTCAGTCAATGCGCTCAACTAGGCTGAGGAAAAACCCTACATTATTATATCTCCGAAGATGCAACGTGCGTGCTTTACTTATATTCTCTTTGTAAAAGAATCAAGCACATATCCAGAATGACCAACCATGAAAAGGAATGGGAGAAATATTTACTTACGATGGCGCCTCTTTGAAACTATGCGATACTTCCGCAAATGTGATCTGACAATCAGAAGTGTGATAATAGCAGATAACGTCACTGCACCTGCAACCGCCCCCAAGACTATCCCAGCCACAGCACCCTTACCTATCCCAGAACTTTGAGAGCCTCCACCAATCACTGTGCATCATTAGAAGATGAGCAAAAGAATACCAACTAAATCTTAAGTATGACGTTGAATAATTCATTAACAAAGAACAATTGAAGACACAACATGCCTAGCTAAAACAGTGTACGACTGTTATTGAGGTATAATCACCCACAATAGTGTTCCAGGAACATTATTTCCCCTCATTATACACACTAATATTTCAAGAATAAGCTTCATAAGAAAGCAAACATACTACCTTATCCAACAAAACAAGAAATAGAAAACTTGCTACTCCAAAATTCACCACTGACACTGGTGCAGCTGAACATATCAGCTGCATGAACAGGTATAATTGGGTTTTAGAAAATGTTCTCAGAAAGTAGAAATTACCCTTAAATACAGTAATTTGGTAAGCAAAACCAAAGTAAGGATATGGCTAGAGGATTCAACAAAGTAGGCCTCAAGGTCCAAGGATGGCCAGGCTAGGAATCATGACAAATGCAACTGCAGTAAACAAGTCAATTTTTTTTTTCATTTCAACAGTAGGGTTTACGAAAACAAACCATTTCTGTAAGGATCCAGCAGAGTCAGGTAGAGAAGCTCATAAGGTCCAAATATTTCACTATCAGGAATGTTCCATCCAGTGAACATGCTTATGATACGACGAGCCTCGCTACTATTGAAGAGATGAGAGCTGTTGGAGTTGACATCATAGACAGGAAAAATCTTCAAGTGCATTTTGATTCGAGGTCCTTTTTCCCAAGAAAACTCAGCAATGTCTAGCTGGGGAAGTTGCAATTTTAGTCCCTCAGTCAAATACCACTCGAAGTCATCTTTATAAGGCCGAAAATCAAAAAATCCAGGGCTTTTCAGTCGATATCCAATGATTAGAGGGGCTGCACAGAAGCAGGATACAGAAGAAGTTGGGGAATATTCAAATGGTGGTGGGCATGCTTGAATGGGGCAGACCAAGTTAGAGCTTGTTGAACTCCCATTCTTTAAATCATCAACAGGAGATTCACAAAACTGGACAAAGGTAGAATTTGAGCAAACAGGGTTCCCTTGAAGCCTGAAAATCATTTAAAACCCACCTGTCAGTTAAGGACTAACCAACTAAGCAGTTTTACTTTCTTGTTTGGTAGATAAATGCATTCTGATCAATGCGCTTAAAGCGTCAAAGGAACCACTCATCAGATAAAGAACGTAGATACCAACCAGAGTGTCACATTTGGAGGTAGAGCAGTACTGCCAGTGATATCTGAGAAGGCATTGTTTTCAAAATCCCTGAGATACAAACGGTTTGAAGCCATGGTAAGTATAATTTGATGAACTTTCTAATCCAAACTTCCAGATTGCAACTTCGAGTTTTATGAAGCATGCTCAATAAATAAACAAAAGGATCAAATTGCACATAGAATGGATGAGCTTGTCATGTTGGGTCTTACAAAATAAGTCCTCTGCTTCCACTGTTACTCCTACTCTGCCATATATTAGATGGAATAGAGCCATTCAGGGAGTTGTTTGAAAGTGACCTGCCACACAAAAAAGTCCAAGTTATATATGCATAATGCCTCTTCAATTGATTGAGACCTCGGCACTTTGGTCTTACAACCAGTTACAACCTTACATCTTTTAATTTCAACAAACGCATGGAAGGGGGGTTTTGGGGAGCTTGCCAGAGACATCAATGCCTCGGAAAGCAATTACTTAACCGAAAAATGGAGCATAGTTTAAGTTGGAAAAAATGCTCACAATATCTGAAGAAGAGGAAGACCTGAAAAGCTTGACGGAACAGTTCCCGTAAGATTGTTGCTGGACAGATCTCTGCAAAAGTTGAGATGAATACCAAAGTTTAGACCTAGCATATAAAGGAATTTAAATCCTGAAGCCCTTATAGACCGTTCTTCATTCTGTAAGTGTGAAAATGCTCTCTCCCGCATAAAAAAAGATGCACATGATATATTACGTGAGAACTACAAAGAAAGCATACATGGTTGTGATATTATCAGAAAGCTTGTTCGAAGGTATAGTTCCATTCAGCTGGTTTGAACTGAGGTCCCTGAATCACACCAAATACGAGTCATCAAGGAGTGGGAAGGCCTGAATCTATTTGAAGATTAGAGTCCTTTTAAGAAGCCAGCAACGGAACTGTGACTTACAGATATCCAAGGTCCGGTATACTGCTCAGATCAGGTATTGGTCCTTGCAAACTACAATTTCTCAGACTCCTGTCATAAGAGAATAATTTAAGCAATTCTTGAGTTTGTCAGTTTTATGGGAATACTGCTAGTACACTCTACTATAGAACACGAGATAAAGCTTCTATGATAAATGAAGAGGCTCTGCACATTTATTTGCAATCTTCATACAGACTAGGCCGCCAATGTACATTATGAAAGTAAATTTCACCGAAAAAATAAATTTAGGAGCATAACAGTGCACTACTCGAAGTAAAGCAAACTTAAGGGCCAAGGAATTAAACAAATATCACCATTAGGGACCATACATTAACCAAACATATCCAAGCAACTTGATGTCAATCTTAGAAACCCATAAGCGTTTCAAGTAATCACATCACATGTTATAACAAGGAGAACAAAGGCAATGATTGGAATATAATTGTTGTTAGTTCTTATTATCAGGAACCAAGTGGCTTAGTCAACACTCCTATGAGTATTTGTAGATTCATTAGGGCATTCAGTACTTACAACTTCAACAATTTAGTCATGTTGCTGTAAGATGGAGGAATTGAGGTTCCATCGAAATTGTTATTGTCAAGTTGACTGCAGATGGACAAAAAGATAACTATTAGGTCAGTGCACAAAAATCTCCACAACAGGCAGCAAATTCCCCCAGTAAATGAGAAAGACGTACAGTATAAGCAAGTTCGGCAGTTCAGAAAACTCAGGTGGGAGGTATCCAGATAAGTTGTTGTTGTCTAAAAGGCTGCAAAATATGCCATAACAAAAATGGAGCTGGTAAGATATTGTAGGGCTAAAATGTGGGGGATGGGGGGAGAAGAAATTACTAGCTTATAGTAAGGAGTACAGATCCTACGCATTTCCAGGACAAACATTGCCAACTTACAAGTGAACAAGACTTGGTAATCTGGACAGCTCCGGAGGGATTTGCCCGCTAATTGAATTGTTGTTCATGTGACTGCCAGAAGGAGAACACAGATCATACAACTATCAATTGGAATTTTACAAACTACACGTTTCATGTCAAAGAAATCCTCACAAGTGCTTTGTTTTGTTCAGCAATGCAAACGATTTGGGTAGTGGTCCTGATATATGATTCTGGTCAATCTGTATTCTGTCCAAGTTTGGAAGATAGCCAAGCTCTTCTGGAAGGGAACCTGTCAGTTGGTTTCCATTAAGGAGCCTGGAAAAACATACATCACCAGCTTTTACTTGACAAAACAAATAGATGTAGCATGAAAGAGGACATGCAGAAGAGGAAAAGAATGTAAGCATCATAATGTCATTACTATCATATAAGACCTTAACTTTGAATAAAGTTAAAAGAAGGTTAGATATTTCAGGAGTTTCAAATATCTAGCTGGCAGGATAATAGAATTATGCAGCAAAAACATTGACCGTAGAACTAATTTGCTCACAGTAGCTCCAAAGATGTAATGTTTCCTATCTCCTTCGGGATACTTCCAGTTATGTTGTTCCACATAAAGTCCCTTCAAGAGAAGATTGATAGTAGAGCAAGAATCAGTAACATAAAAAAGGAAAAGTATGGAAACATCCATGATTTTGAATAACAAAATACAAGACAATTGTGAAAAGTTGAGCTTTACAAGATCTTCAGATATGAAAATTTCCCAAGTGAGGGTGATAAAGTGCCTGTGAGATTCATGTCCAGCAGTTGCCTGCAAAGAAAGATTAGAGTACAAAAGACCATGAGAATGCTGGTATGCAGCAGGAAAGAAGTATATATATATCAGCAATTCAAGAGTCATGCATTGGAACCAAAGAAGAAAAAGAAATTAATAACAAAGGAAGCATGTGAAACAATACGGCAACTACTAAACAGAGGCTGTATAATATGCTAAAAGTCTCTCAAACTATGATGCATCTTTTTGCAGATTGAACACAGTTCAGAGTTCTATTATAGCAAATTCGTGACTCAAAAGAGTTAGGGTGGGGCACTGAGAATTGAAGTTTAAAAAAAAAAATAGGAGTTTTCCGAAACAAAAACAGGGCACACGAGGTCAATGGCAAGCCCAAGGTATAAAGAAGTACAAAAACATACAATTCTCTGACATGGAGATAGCCATCATCCATTGTTGAATTGAAACACAGAACCCCTGTCCAATTGGATGTGCATGGATCCCCTCTATTCCAATTGCTCAAATTCCTATTGATGTCGATCAAACTTCTGCGGACATCCCGCAACGCGTCGACTGCAGATTAAAGCATATCACAGCCAAAGGTTTTAGTTTACTTGACTTTCTTCAGAAGAAAAGAAGAAGAAAAAACTGCAAGCAATAACAGTTGACGACATGCCTTCCATTGTGCATGACTCAAGGTAAGCGTTTAGACGTTAAAAAATCGGTTGGGAATCAAAAAATTCAATTCCTTGGAACTTCCAATAGCGTGGGTAGTATAAGCAGTAGAAACAGATTGAACAGCAGAAATGACTCTTGAGCCAAGAACTCAGGCTTACAGAAGAAGCAGTCTGTATATTTCTGAATCTAAAGAAACGGTTGCAGAAAAGGAAGGGAGAAGTTGCCTCCCTCAAGAAAGGGGGAAAAACCAAAGACAACCCATGAACTAAGAAAGCGTAAAGACTGGAGATTCTCACCTTCTAAAGGGTTAGTAATGGACTGCTGCTGTGCTGCAATAAAAGGTGGGAAGGAAGAAGAGAAGCAGAAAAACAACAGAGCTCCGAAGAGAAGAGATGTGGTTCCACAAGGCATATTCACTGAGAAGTAGCGTGGGTGGGTTGAAAGCAGAGCAGAGCTGGGAGATGAATAACGAACCCGCTTGCAGCCAGTAAACAGCTACTGAACCTTACGAGAATACCAATGCTTCCTGTGGGTACAAAAGACAAGAAGGGTCGGAATCAGAGATGTGTACGCAATTGAAAGATCAAACCCACCAACAAGCTAAAAGACAGAAATAACAAAGGGGAGAAAGAATGAGAGAACGGTGATGTAATTCGCGCCGGCGACCACTTACCCGATGAATTAATTGCTGCTGTTGGGACACAAAAGGTAATCAAGGAGGAATTAATTGAAGCAAAATAAATCAACGGAAGGAAAGAAAGAGTCCAAAAGGGCAGACAGCACAGAAAGAAAAAGAGGAAGGAGGCGTGGTTGTACCAAAACCAAGGGTGGAAATAGTACAAGAGGTGGTAAAATGTTGAGAGGGTAGGTACGAAAATTGAAGGAGGACCAGGTCAGGAAGAATATTAATGAACTAACACCGGCTTCAGCGGGAACTGGGGAAGCATCAGAGAGTACTGAGGAAGACGAAGAAGAGGAAAAAAGGAAATGGCGGAGGTTAGCGATGGTGATGGTGCTGCTGCTGCTGATGGATGGAATAGCCATCGTTTTCATTGAAGTCAACAGAGTGGGATCAAACTTTCGTTTTTTTTTTTTTTTTTATTGGTGAGTAGGATTGGATGGAGGTTGTGGGCAACTGGGCATTCACTATCTATCTATCTATACCCCAATTTTCAAACCAAGGGAAAACGAAATAAATAATTTCTATTTGGCAAAAAGATCGAAAGTGGAAGGGAGAATAAGAGAGACAGACGACGGCCAGGTAAGGTTTCCGAACTTCCGATGGCTTTTGAAGAATATTAAAATGGCGGCGGTGGCAGCGGGGTGGGTTGATCCTCCAACCAGAGAGAGGACGAGGTAACATTTGACTTGTTCTTTTTGATCGGCGGGATGTTGACTTCTGTTTCCTTTTTTCGTACAAAGGAATAGCAATACGAAGAGTTAATACACACATGGTGCCTGAACTATCATTTGTTTCCTATTCAAGCCCTTCAACTATATTTTCTCTTATCAAAGTCCCTTACGTTTCTGATTGTTTGTACTTGAGCCCATGCCGTTACTTGCTGTTAATTATACGTTAAATGCAATCTGAATAGACAAAAGTACCCTCGCTAGCTTGGGGAAAAAATTAGCCTAGTTTTAATTTGGCCAATCAGTGGCCACAAGAAACAAGTAATCCATCATTTTAGCTACACCATCATCGTCAAAATCACCGATGACTACCCTTATCTTGTCGTCTCTTCTACTAAATGTCGGCGATGGGCAGTGTTCCCACTCTCAAATCTGAACTCGGAGACGAGTCCTGCCACTCTGGGCGGTTCTTTATTCCCTCTAAATGTTGCCTTCCTATAGCCCACTTATTGTCGTCATTCATTGCTTTCCGTGGACTGAGAAGAAAAGAACTTCCTTAACTGTACTCAAAAAGGGGGGGAAAAGGGTAACTTATTCGGGCCTAATTGTACATATTTTACCTCGTTTTCTTTAGGCATTTGTGGCACTTGTGCTCCTAAAAGGGTGGTTTTACGCGAGGTTTCTTGTGTTTTAGCATGTTTCGGGATTTAACAGGTGAAACCAGCCCCGAAGTCGAAAGTTGGACGAAAAGGAGCGAAAACCGGGAGAAGAGGTAAAAAATCGGCAGTTCACGTTTGCTAAGACCATGAAGAGGAGCTGTTGCCCATGAACATCAAGGAGTCCAGGGCAAAATATGAAGTTACTGACGCTAGGCGAGTTCACAATCTCTAAGACCGTGAACTAGAGTTGTTCCCCGTGAACCTATGCAAGCGAAGCTGTGCTTTCGATGCCAACTTTGAGTTCACGGACGCGTTCAAGAGTTCATGGCCGTGAACTGATGCCGTGAACTAAGCCTGGTCCCTGTTTAAAAGGAGAGCTGTAAGGAAGAGAGAGGAGCCAAGAGTGAGAAAGTGCCTTCTTCAGATTTTAGAGAGAGAAAGAACGAACCAAGGAAGGAAGAAGGCTAGGGTTTGCTCTAAGTGGTGAATTGGGAAGATTCTCCCCAAGAGAAGTTCAGCACAAGCTCAAAGAAGATTGGAAGCATCACCATGATGGTTTCTACCTTTTCCTCTTGTGTTTCTCCCCTTTCTAGCATGGAGTAGTTTTCACTTGGGTGTTGTGAAACCCCTAACTATTTGCCATGTAGTTGTTATGTGAATTGAATGATTGTTTATGACTGTTGTTTAATTTAATGATTGGGGTATTTTTCATGTTGATTGTGCATGTTTGTGCTTAGCAATCTAATTGCCCATTCTAACCTAGATTAAAGGGGAAACCCCCTTTCAAGGGAGGCTCAATTGAGTTGGGATTCCTAGGGCTTCTTAAGCCACCTATCTAGGTTAATGTAGGGCAAACCTCTATGTTGAATTAAGCAATTTGGTTAAGCACGATTAAGCCGACCAACCATTGGGTTGAGTGAGGGAGTAAGTCAACCATCGATTGCCTTAACCGAGAGGGACACTTGAATAGCCTATAATGTATCCCTCGGTTTGACAATCGAGAGTGTGGTCTAAGACCATATTTGCGTCCCCTAGCGGTTCGCAGTCACCTTGCCCATATCAATCACTTGGATTCATATACCATGGTAGTAGTTAGGGGGAAGCGACACCCGAGTGATCCTTCTCACAAAGAGCTTTCAAAACCAATTACTTTTGTCTTGCTTTACTTTAATTAGCAAACTTTTCAATCAAAAACGATTTGCTAGATAATGATTCAAATGACGAAAGTAGGGGTACACGGACCGGCCCTAGTGGATATTTAAACATACTTGCCTTGTATTGCACCCAACTAAGGTTTATACTTGGACCTTAGGCGGGAATTAATTGTGATATTAGTGAAGAGTCAAGTTTTTGGCTCCGTTACCGGGGACAACGGTTTGTTATCTTGAAAAAGTTGTTTAGTGTTAATCTAGCTTTTAATTTCTAGTTTTGAAAGTGTGTGTGCTTTGCTTGTGTTAGACTTGGTGTTGTTTTCTGATTGTGTGTAGGAGGTGCATGGCCCGGAGTAATCCGGCACCTTTGCTACCCCGTGAATAGGACATAAACCGAACTCTCCGGCTCCTAGCACGGGAGAGAGAGCTAGCGGAGGCAAGGAGAAGAGGTGAAGAAAGGGGACAACATTTGGGTCCCGGTGCTAGTGGAGAAGAAATCGAAGAAGTGGAAGTTGAACCCATCGTTGAAGTAGAAATGGCGGGGAACCAAAGATAAGAGGGAGCCGCCCAAGCTCGTAACCTAAACGATGCGGCGGCGGAAGAGGAAGCCCCGAGAACAATGGGATACTATATGGCCCCATGGCCGGCGGACATTCAATCGCCAATCCTACACCCTCCCGTGGCGGCAAACAATTTCGAGATCAAGCCGTCTCTAGTGACTATGATACAGAACAATGCTTTGTTCCATGGTCTTTAAAGCGAGTCACCAAGAGAGCACGTGCATAGATTCTTGGAGCTCGCGGGGAGCTTGAAAATCAATGGTATGCCGGCTGAAGCTTTGCAACTAAGGCTTTTCCGCTATTCGCTTACGGGGAAAGCACTCTGGTGGCTAAACAATAGCCCACCTCGGTCAATCACCTCATGGGACAATCTTCTCAACAAATTCATGTCTCACTACTGCCCACCTTCGAAGACGGCAGAGTCGAGAAAGAAGATTACACATTTTGAGCAAGAAGAGGACGAGACCTTGAGGGACGCTTGGGAGAGGTACTTCGATTATTTTCTTCAGTGCCCTCACCATGGGTTTGAAGAACAGTTTCGGATTGAAACCTTCTACGGTGGTCTAATCCAAGAAGATAAAATTCTCATTGACTCTCTGTGTTAAGGGAAATTGGCGAATATGACTCCGCCCCAAGTAACTGAACTACTTGAAGACATGGCCCTCAAGGGATACGATTGGGGAGTGAGAAGCATGGGAGCGAGCGCTCCGCTTGAGGCGAAGTTGGATAAGTTGATAGAGGCAATTCTTGAAGATAAGAGGCAAGGAAAAAGACCGGTGATGTCGTACGATTGGTGCTCGAGTACTAGCCATGAGATGGCGGAGTGCTAGGCAATGAAGGATGCAAACACTCCGGAGGAACAAGTCAACTTCGTGGCAAATGCTAGGGCTAATAACCCGTATAGCAATACTTATAAACCTGGATGGAGGAACCACCCCAATTTTTCTTGGTCATCACCGACTAATCCGAGAGGGGCCCCAGATTTTCAATGCCCCACGAGCAATTACCAACCTCGGCCAACCTTCATCCAACAAAGGCCTCAAGTCCAAAGCTCAAATTTCCAATAACAATACCAACCACAAGGTGGCCTAGGGTTTCAACAACAACAACCCGACAAGTTATCTAAGCTTGAAAACCTAGTGAACACCTTTGTGAGCACGAGTGCCCAAAAGTTTGAGAAGATAGAACAATTTATGGATGTGGCGACTACCAAGTTTACCTCGGTTGAGGAAATACTCTGAAGCCATCAAGCAAGCCTCCAAAGTTTGGAGGTGCAAATCGGCAATCTTGCCGGCATCTTAACCGAGAGACCAAGGAGAGCCCTACCTTACCAAACCGTGGCGAACCCCGGGGATCATGCCGAGGTGAATGCAATTCAAGTGGGAAGTGGAAAGGAGACTCCGGGAGTCGCCACTAAGGAAGTGATTGAGAAGGAAGATCCCGACCCGAAGGATGGAGAGAAAAATCCCTCGAGGAGAGGATGGAAAGCGGCAAGGAAGGCATCGCCGACACCACCCCTGGTGGTTGAGTACACGCCACCTCTTCATTTCCCCACGAGGATGTACAAAGAGAGGTTGGAGAACGAGTGTGGAGGCTTCATGGAAATGCTCCGCAAGCTCCACCTCAATATCCCTTTCCTTGAAGTCTTGGCTCAAATGCCAAAATATGTCAAGTACCTCAAAGGATTCATCATCAAGAAGCCAAAGCTTGAAGGCCTCGCGAACGTGACTCTTGGCGAGGAGTGTTCGGCTTTGCTCCTCAACCGCTTGCCCAAAAAGCGGTCTGACCCAGGTAGCTTTACTATCCCTCTTGGTATTGGTAACCATCATATAGACAATGTCTAGGAGGACCTAGGAGCTAGTGTTAATGTGATGCCCTACAAGCTTTTCAAAAAGTTAGAAGTAGGTGAACTTAAGACCACTAAGCTTAGCATCACTTTAGCCGACCGTTCGGTCATCAGCCCGAGAGGTATTGTGGAGGACACGTTGGTGCGAGTAGGCGAGTTTTGCTATTCGACTGATTTCGTGATTCTTGACATATGTGAGGACTCGGATATGCCACTCATACGCGGTCGTCCCTTCCTCGCCACTGCCAAGGCATTGATAGACGTTAATGAGGGGACCTTAATTCTAAGGGATGGTGAGGAGAGAATCACTCTTGAAATTGACCCTAAGGCTAGAAGTGAGGAAGTGAAGGAGTTGGTTTTTAATGAAGTGAATGTGAGTGGAGGAGAGCCTCTCAAGGAAAACCCCACTATTACTTGTGTTGCTTGTGGTAATGTTGAGCAGGAAGTCAAGGAGGGTACTATGCCCAAGGAAAAAAAAGAAGAATGCTTGGATGCAAAAGATAAAGGAAGCTTTGGCCCAAAGGAAGGAGAAGGCCAAAGCTAAGTTGGCCAAACAAGAGGGCCAACTTATGGAGCCAAAGATGGGAGGCTACAAGCCTCGCCCCGAGAGTTTGGTGGATCCACTCTCGGCGGCATCACGTTCCAAGACGTGATTGATCCCCAACCGTCAAGCTAATGATGATAAATTAGCGCTTGTTGGGAGGCAACCCAATGAAGGTTTGTTTTCTTTTCCTTATTTTCGTTTTTGTGTCAAGAGAAGAGTTCAAGTGGTCAAGTGGTGCCCCCGTGCCAAGTTTTTTGGTTTTGCGATTTAAGGTTGAGTTATTATTGATTCGGAGTCACGGTGGATTAGGTTGAGTCAAATTTTT